GAAGGAAGGAAGGAAGGAAGGAAGGAAGGAAGGAAGGAAGGAAGAACAATTCTGGCCATAGGATACAAGAAAGACATGATCCTTCCTTCCTGAAGATATAAAAAAACAATTCTGTGGATCTCATACAGTTTTTCAACGTCTCTCTTTGATATACTGGACAAAATAATCATTGACATTTACTGATTGCTCACTTAGATACATGAAGGATGGGGAACAGCATTCAGGATGTAGTGTAACATCACTTTAAAAGCTTAGTATAAAAATCACTGCCCAATGGCCCAAGAATATCACTAGTGAAATTTACTGAACTCCTAAACTTTAAAATCTGAAAGTAGTCTGTGTAAACATAAAGGATGGGATGCAGTGTATCATGATTCCTCCTGGTTGAGTGAAGGACTCCCTGCTTTTCTCCCCGCTCCAGGCATTTCATTCACTACAATTAAATTTTAAGATAGGTTTTTAAAGTAAGGCAGGGCAAGAAGTTTTGCTTCTCAGAGTTAACAGAGAGAACTGGAGAACTGAAACCGACGACGGCAGATAAAGATCAGACCAATAAAATAACTAAAACGTAGAATGTGAAAAAAAGAGAAAAGAACTAGAAAGGAGATCTGTGGGCTTAGGGGGAGTAAAGCGAAACTTAATATTACTTGACTTGCCCGTTCTCCACGTAGGTGGTTCTGTAAAACCCCACCAGGGAGCCGTTCAGCCAGCCAGCGAACTCCATGGTCAGGAGGTAGAGACCTTTGTCACCGACGGGGGCCAGCTCTTCTTCGGCCTCCACCACCACATACTCTTGCTTTTTATACTCGAAGCACCTCCTGAGCTTCACCTGCTCCCCCGAGGGCTTCCTGAGCTCGGGGAGCCGGGTGATCCAGGTGTCCCGCAGGTGCAGCCACAGGTGAGGCGTGGGCGCGCTCACGTTGATGGAGATGGTCACTCTGCCGGTGTACGTGTCCTGCTCCATCAGGGGCTTCACCTCCAGGTCGTAGTGCACGGGGTTGACGGTGGCCGGCAGTCTGAAATGTTTCCAACCTCCACTTGCATCTTCGCTGGCAGGACAGGCGCTGGGGTCCTGGGGAGGGGGCTCTGAAGGTCTGGCCGTGGGAGGAAGGGCCGAAGGGCTAGTCCGGGGAGGAAGGTGGGATGGCGCCGGAGCTGTGCCGTCGGTGGAGTCACACGATCGGGTCAAGCCCACGGAGAGTCCCACTATTAACCCCACAGCCACCACCACCGCACAGATAATAGCCACATGTTTGGTTTGAATGCAGTATCTCTTAGAGCCCTCTCCCTCTGCAAAGTTCATTTTTTTTTTTTTTTGTTTCCGAAGTCAAATGTTACACATAAGAGGGATGTTAAATTTAACTAACGTCAGCTGACTTCCTTCTTAAATTGGAGAGAGTCCCCTGGCTTGGCAGCCTGTTTTCACTTTCACCCCACCTCTTCCTCTGGCTTTCTTGCTTTCTTGCGTCTTTTCCAGTCCCTTCAAGTTCCCACCAGCCACTCCAGGGTGAGGGCGGAAACGAGGGGGGGTGGGATGGGGACTCCAGAAGAGGAGCTGAATCCCAGACGGGGAATGACAGGAACATGGCCCCAGCTCCCCTTATAAACACCGCATCCCCACCCCTACCCCTCCCACACTGGAGCAAGTTAAACATAAAACAGGACTTCGCTTATCAGCCAAAGGAGAATGATTCCCCCCCCCCCCAAAGCTCTGTCAGCAGCTTTCAAGAGAGAAAGCCTCTGGGTAAGAGGTGTGCTTAGAGAGAAAAACTCAACCTTGGCCACTAGGTCTTCTTCCTGTTGTGTTCACATTCTCTCTCTTAATTGAAGGGCTTCTTGAATTTCACTATTTTATCAGGTCGCTTGCCAAAGAAACTGTTTCTATTCTTTTTCTTCCTATTATATGAACATTCAAATTCTGCCCTCTGGACAGTCCTTAGCGTTGGGGGCTTAGAGTTAATTCATAAATCCAAGGACCACTTCTTTAAGCTGTAAGGCAAACCTATTGCATTTGGATGACAGAGGGTCCGGGCAAGTCACAGTGACTTCCATATTTAGGGGTAGCTGTACATGGAGGCATCCAAGTCCTTTGGAATGGTAACAATACAAAAATAATAATGCAAATCTTGACAACTTTTTATATGCCAGGCACTATGCAAAGTGATTTATAGAAGTTGTTGAAATTTTTCCAATAACCCTATGAGATTGGTGCTATTTGGATGACCATTTTTAGAGATGGTAAAACTGACATCTTAAGAGGTGTCATTGTTGAAGGAAGCATAATTGGTAAACAGCAAATTGGGGTTGGAATGCAGGTGTGTGTATCTAAAGTCTGTACATTTAATTACCACATTACACTGCTTCTATTCTGTAAAGAGGAGAAATATTCAAAGGTTAAGTACCTGGGAGAAACTCAATTATTTCCCAAAGTACAATCTATGAGTATTAATAGATACGCTGGCAGGACAGAGAATCCTGCCTGAGAGAGTAAGTTAAAATCTTCTTTGCCTTCTTGCATTCTTTCAGAGTCTCCAGATTGTGACACACATTGTGAGACTCTGAGAGGAAACACTATGAGGGTAATTTCCACATTTAGTTAACATGTGGGCTTTTTTTGTTTGTGTTTTTGTGTTTTGGTGAGGGAACACCAAGGAACACACTCTAAGAAATGTTGCTTTAAACTATTCTGTTACAAACTAAACAAAGGAACGAATGGGGGTGGGATGACCTCTTTAAGGCAAAATAGTCTACTATATTCTAATATTTGCATTTTCTCATGAAATACTACTAAGAGGAAAAGAATTAATAGAAGGAGGAGATATGGTTTTGTAAATTATAGATCTATCTTGTATTCATTAATTTCACATTCTGAAGCAATTCTAAACTTTTTGAGATCGCCGTATGTTTAAACTCAGCAAATCAACTTTCTGAATGTTAGCCCTTCGAGCTCCCCCCCAACATTTTTTTTACTTTTTAAAAATTTATATATGACAGTGGAATGCATTACAATTCTTATTATACATATAGAGCACAATTTTTTCATATCTGAGTGTATACATAGTATATTCACACCAATTCGTGTCTTCATACCTGTACTTTGGATAGCAATGATCATCACATTCCGCCATTGTTAATTACCCTATGCCCTCTCTCTTCTCCTCCAACCCCTCTGCCCTATCTAGAGTTTGTCTATTCCTCCCATGTTCCCTCTCCCTGTTCCACTATGAATCAGCCTCCTTATATCATTTGGTTTGGGGGGATTGGCTAACTTCACTTAGCATTATCTTCTCTAACTCCATCCAATTACCTGCAAATGCCATGATTTTATTCTCTTTTATAGCTGAGTAATACTCCATTGTGTATATATGCCATGTTTTTTTTTTATCCATTCATCTATTGAAGGGAATCTATGTTGGTTCCACAGTTTAGCTACTGTGAATTGTGCTGCTATAAACATTGATGTGGTGTGTCCTATAGTGTGCTGTTTTTAAGTCCTTTGGGTATAGGCCAAGGAGAGGGATAGTTCAAACCCCCTTTTTGTTGAGAAGATTGACATTTCACTAAATGTCTGATGTCAGATATTTTTGGACCCATCAGCTCCCTGGAAAATGGCTGGAAATCATATGTGTGTCTCAAAAATAAAAGGCAAAATAGGAATCAAATTTACCTCAACATAATGAAAGAAAAAATGAAGAGAAAAACTGTTTGGAAGAAGGTACATATGAAGTTATATTAAACTAGAAGCATTTTTTAGAATGATCAGATAAGCAAACATATACAAACTCCACCTCATCTAGAAAAACAGTAATATGAGACTCTATGCATAGACTGGGCAGAGAAGAAAATAGACCTTTGGGGTAGAATACACTTAATGATGACTGAGAATGGCTACTTGCTATAAAACATCCCTCCTACTCTGCCTGGAATTCCATCATAAAAGAGTCAGTACTTACATGCAGTTTTTGCTAGAAGAAATAAAATACATTAAATACATGTAAGTAGTGTGTGTGTGTGTGTGTGTGTGTGTGTGTGTGTGTGTAAATTTAGAGTCTATCGCCTAGTTCCAACCACGATATCTCAGTACCTGTCTGTGAAAGCTGACTGCATTCAGTGAGGGGCCCCGCATCCTAACTGGATCAGCATACTAAGGTTGCTAAATGTGATAGAGATAAGACACACAGCCAGGGAGGTGGGGCAGGAGGGTGGCAGAGCCAGGACGTACACTAAACCTATCTATGGTCAACAGGTTAGGATCTACTAAACATAAACTCACCTAGCTTTTATAATTCAACACTTGTTCTCATTGCAGCAGTACCTACTGTCCTTCGTGTCACTGACGCTGGAAGGCAGAGTCTGTGGCAGCATCCTGTTGACCTTGAAAACCCTCATTCCATGCTCAATCCACAGTGACCATCAAGGCAGCTACTGAGGAAAGAGAGAGAAGCTATTCCTACAAAGAGACCAATGAACCATCACACAAGCCCTTCCAGATGAAATAGTTTATGTTGGATAAAGTTATGTTGAATGAATTTATATCAGATAAAAGTAATTTGAAATATTTTCTTTCTGTTTTTTGTTGTTGTTGTTGTTGGTGGTGGTGGTGCTGAGGAATTGAACCCAGGACCTTGCCTGTATTAGGCAAGCGTTCTACGACTGAGCTCCAACCCCTACCCTGATAAAAGTAATTTGGAAAGGCTACTCCTGATCAGTTTTCACTAATTAGGTCCAGGCCAGTGATGGCTGTTCACTGTAGATTCTAGATCACAGCTCTCAAAGCTTCTGACAATGTACATTATCATCTTCTATTTAAAATACAAGTCTGATATTCATTCTCCATTTGACGCAATAAATGTTTATGGATGGCTTATGAATAAACAAATGAACAAGAAGGGGAAAGGAAGGCTGGAGTTGTAGCTCAGTAGCAGAGTGTTCACCTAGCACATGTGAGGCACTGGGTTCAATCTTCAACACCACCTAAAAAAATCTAAAAAAGAAAAAGAAGGGGAAAGGAACCAGGAATCCAGAATAGAAAGCATTCATGGACATAGTATATCAGAAATGTTGAGTTAAAATAGAATCAATTACAACAAATAAAAATAAATAAATAAAACAAAATCAGTTAAAATTCCAGGAACACCTGGAAAGACATACCTTGGAGGCAAAGAGATCATATCGGGTTTTGAGAAGCAGAGGTACTTCTTATCCAATTCCTTCCCACAGCAGGTATGTTGTGATGTTGGAATCACCATAACACTGAAACACCTAGAGTGTGCCTCTTTCTCTCTCTTTTTATTTTTTCACTTGAAGCTTCAGCTTAAAGCTGTGAAGTCCAGGGAGTACACATTTGCACTGAGGCTACCTGGCCTTCTGTATACATGATGTGCCTTAGGCTCACCTGAGCACCAGAACCATCTGCAGAAGTGTTGTCAACAACTGACACGACAGTGTGATTATTTGGCTGGTTCTTTATTTCTCTCAGTTGATATGAGGTGAACCCCATGGTTAACCAACAAACAAAAGTGGCAAGCTGGATTCACAACTTGGAAGAAGCAGAATCTGCCACTATTTTAGTTGTATTTTTTAGGGAAGATAATAACCAGTTCCTCTCCATCTTGCTATAGGGCCACTTTTATCACGCATGTAAATTCTACATAATTCCATGGTTGATCCAGACATTTTCAAACTTAAAGGCTTAGCATGGAAGCAGGGAGACATTTTCTATGACTCTGCTAACTATGAATTGTGAATCCATATTGGCGATGCTCTTTGTGATCCTGTCTAATCCATTTGATGTTTTCAATGCCTGTATTTTATTCATCATCTTTTATTAGGATTCAGTAACTGTTTGAAAATATTCAATTCCCATTTAAACTAAGTGGACCAAATAAACTTTAAGAGCTGGAAGTGATTGCAGCTGTTAGGAGTAGTTTTCAGATGGAAAATGCTCGGCACACTACAACTTATTTTTTGTGGGTTGGTAAATGATGAATTGGTCCAATGATTGACACAATATGGGCAAATACACACTAGGGAAAATGAAAAGGAGGAGAATGTGAAGGAAGGATAGATGATAAAGACAAGAGAAAGGAAGAAGGAAGATTTTCAAAGATGAAGGGAAAAATTATTCAATAAAAAGTAAAAATCAATGAAACAATAAGTTTTCTCTTTTCTTTGTTTCCAAGACTGATTGTCCTGCAGGATTTTCTGGGATCTACAGACTGATGGTCTAAATCTTTCCCACATCCATCTTCCATGGATGCCAGGGCTTCTCAGTTCATAAGTGTGAATCTTGTTCCTGTCACTCATTTGGATTCCTCTGAAGAGAATCAGTTTGCCATTCTCCTGGTAAGTGTCTCTAGGCCACCATTCATTCATTCATTTGTTCACTCCACAAATATTTATGGACTCAATAAATATTGGCTTTTCAAAGAACATATATTAGGCAAGAAATTTTAGAACGAATTTTAAAATGTGAACATTAAAAGAAATATTAGTAAATACTCTTAAAGGCATGTATGTAAACCTCTGCTTTGTTCTCCGCACGTAG